TTCTATTTTATTTTATTTTATTCGAATAGTTTTTTGAATTTTAAATTCGAATGTGTTTTTTTTTGAATTGATTCGCATTTTGGCCAAATTTAGTTTAATTATTTCAGATTCATTTAAATTCATTACTATTGTAATTTGGAATTCAGATACATCCGAATTTCCGAATAACGGAAAATTCCTCTGAATTTCGATTCAGACCGAAATGAATAGCACATGTCTACTCTTCACTAGTGTACCTTTCTTTGGACATTTTGTCCAATAAATTTATAGGTACCTGGAGCACCTGACTGTCAGGGACTGCTACGAAAAATTTTACCTGCTAGTGCTAACAGAGATCAGGCCTGATCTTGCTAACACTGCAGTTGTGTGTGTAATGTATCAGTGATCTACTGACACTGCACTTGCTTGGGAAGGAGCCCCTCCTTCCCGGAGGAGCGGAGGAGCAAAACGCAGGTGCTGGCAGGTGTCGGGGTGGATGCTGCTAACTCTGCATTTTTGGGGACACTATACTAATGTGGACGCTAGTGTAGTTTTGATCTGATCAAACATATTGATCCGTTCAGATGCTATACTAGCAATGGAAGTTTATAGTGAGTCTATGAGAGTGTTCTTGTCAATCAAATGGTTAAATGTGATGGTAATGTAGTGGCAGGCAATCTGACGCTAACATTATCTGAAGTCACTCGTGACACTAATACAGTGATCAGTAAAAAAAATCTGTACACTGTACTAATGACACTGGTGACAGGGCAGTGAAAGGGTTAACTGGAGGGCGATCAGGGAGTTAAATGTGACCTAACTGTGATTTTACTGTGTCAGTGTGCTGCTTTTGTGGATCTGCTCTCTTCCCTCACTAGACCAATGTTTCTGTGCTGAGAGCGTGCCCACTGTGCACTCCCAGCACAGAGACTAAGCTGTCTAAGACAGCTCTCGTTCTCTACTTTTGGTAGCTGGCGGGACTGGCTCCTGATCATGTGACCACTTTGACAGCCAATCACAATGGTCACATGATCGCCAATCCATCCTGCCCCCCCCCCCCCCCCCCCCCCCCCAAGGTGTACAGGCCCAATTAAAGGGACACCTGGGCTGGGAGGGAAGGGGATAATAATATTTTCATCATCATTACTGTTTGGTTATCTGTTGTAACTTTAACTCCTCTTTATTAGTGCTGAAGGAGGTCAAATGTGACAAAAATATTATAGAGTTTTAAGATAGGAGAGGACAGTTGGCAGTTGTGAGAGCAATCCCAAAATGACACATCATTCCATGTCGGTGTCATTTCGGGCAATTGTTCATTCAGCATCATCTACCTGTACCTTTTTGTTTCCATATAATATAATATCGGTGAAAGAGTTGAGTAATACAGGTCATATGCATCCTTTTCATCCAAATGAGTAACAGCTTGAGGGCCAGTTCACACTATAGAAATGCAGTCCAGATGCGTTTCTGCATGAGCGTTTTCGGCCCATTCCGGTGTATGTTTAATGCATTTTTTTATGCATTCCAGTGCGTTTTTTTATGCATCCCAATTCATTTTTGCCCCCTTTCTTTTTCTTCAATTTAAATAGGGACATGTGCATTCCAGTGCGTTTTTGATGTGTTTTTTACTGCGTTCCAGTACAGTTCTGGGCAGAAAAAAATGCAGCATGTTCTACTTTTTTTTTTCTGCAACCTGGAACGCACTGGAACTGCGAGCACTGATGTGAACTATGACATTGACAACCATATAACCTACTTTCTGTGCATTTTGGATGCAGAAAAAAAGCAACTGAACCGCATGTAGTGTGAACTGGCCCTTAGTGTTTGGAGACATTGCTGGGACTTACTTTACTAGTACAGCCAGTAGTGACGATCACTATTGAATGATTGAAGCAGAATGCATGTGACCAATATTACTGGGCTCCTTTCAGGTAATTTATACCGACAGAGGTGTGGCAGAAAATTACATGATGTCATAGTGTTCACAAACTTTCAGATATTAGTATAAAAAACATTGACAGTCAGAACTGAAGGTTAAAGCTGAAGTTTAGCTTTAAAAAACTGCCTACAATTTTAGTCACATCACTTACCTGTAATGAAGGATATCCCATGTTGTACAGTCAACTGCATCCTGCAGAATCTTCATGGCAGGAATGCCTGTCCTCTTCCTGCCTCTGAACTCACAGCGCTGCAGTGATTACCAGCTTTGGATCTTCAGGCAGCACATGAGTACAGATGGTCCTATGGGACACACCTCCTCCTTCCTCCTCCTCCAGCAAGAATAGTTCTTTCATTGATTACACTGCTTGTAACATTATCTGCAAATGGGTTTGTGTTTGATCATTCCTGGGGTTCTCTCCCCCATTCACAGATTATGTTACAAGTAGTATAAATCAATGAAAGAACCAATGGAGGAGGAGGAAGAAGGAGGGGATGTGCTCCTGTTGGTCTGCTGTTCTGCCTGAAGACCTTAAACTGTTAACCACTGAATTGCCAAAAGTTCAGAGACCGTAAGATGAAACAGAGACAGGGTATCCCTGTAGTGAAGATTTCTCCAGGATCCAGCTGCCTGCACAACATGAGACATCCTTCATTATAGATAAGTGATGTGACTAAAGCTGTAGAGATTTGTTGTAAAGTTAAACTTCAGCTTTAAGCCTTGGTATATATGTTGTGTTATTATCCTAGATTGTAAGCTCCAAGGAACAGAGCCCTCCTATCCCTCTTGTATTGAACTGTATTGTTGCTGTATTGTCTCCTGTTATATTGTAAAGCGCTGAGCAAACTGTTGGCGCTATATAAATCCTGTATAATAATAAAATAATCTTTTTTCCTGCAATATGCGTTATGTAGGGAAAGAGCAGGCATGGCTTTTTTGTTGTGCAATGTAATATTGCAGAACAACTCAGGTGTGCTACAGTGTAGCAACTTTTTTGTGCTGGAAAGCGCATTTTGGTCAAAATTCCTGTGCCTTGTGATTTTTGAGGGTCTTTGTCTGTGTATTTGTATCATTGTTCTCTGCATAACCACTATCTCATGCCACTCCATAATAGGAGGGAGTTTTTAAGATTTACTTCATTCAAATTTTGTGTCATATACTGTATGTAAAAGGCAATCAAATTCAATAAAGTACATACAGTATATTCATTGAGTGGAATTTATGTGAATATTTCTGGGGAAGGTCCATAGCTTTCTTATATTCTTAAAGGGGTCTGTGACTCAAATAAAGGTTAATAGACACTGCTCTAGATGAACAAAGGCAGACATGCTTGAAGTTCAGTGATATCCATGGTCCCTCCGTATAGAAACATACGGTATATTTACATATAATATATATATATATATATATATATATATATATATATATATATTGGGAACTAGCATAAAATGGTAGAGTTTTTCCAGCACACAGCCACTCACTTTACTCTTTTTTTAAAGGCCTTTTAGCCCAATTTTATTTAAAAGAAAGTTCCACAACATGCTTCCCACACAGGGGTATCCACCATCAAACAAATGAAACAAATAATCAGCCTCCTGGTTTGTACACAGATTTCTGCCGCTCTGTCCTTCCACTTTAGGCTCACAGCTGTCTCCTACAGACTCCTTCCAAAATGGCTTTTAGCACACAGCTAGCAGCCCCTTGCTGCTCTGGCTTCCACCTCTCCTAGGTGGAGCCCTCCTGACTCCTAGGCAATGACCTCCTGTCTGCCAGGGTGGAGCCCAGAACCCTGGTCCTGACTCTAGAAGAGAGCCATGCACACCTGACCAATCAGTCTTCTGGCCATTCCCAAAACCTGGTCCAAGGATTGGAGATTTCATCCCTCCCAAATCACTTTGAAATCTCCAGGCTCCAGGGCCCAAAATGGACTTTACAAACAAAAAAGGAAAGTGAAAATCCACTTTCCACTGCATCAAATAAGTACCCTGGAGCCCCTCAACCTGCCTTGTTGAGAATCCCGGGTGAAATATCCTTTTTATATTGTGACAGATCGCCACACTGTCACTATATATATATATATATATATATATACATATATATATATACATACTATATTGCCAAAAGTATTGGGACGCCTGCCTTTACACGCACATGAACTTTAATGGCATCCCAGTCTTAGGCGCACCCTGAAAACCCATCTCTTCAGGGAAGCCTACCCCACCCTCACCTAACTGCCGATCTCCTCCACTCCTACTACCACTCCATCCCCCACAGCCACTTCCTCCTGTGCCACTATCCCCTCCCTCCTAGATTGTAAGCTCGAAAGAGCAGGGCCCTCGAACCCCTCGTGTATTGTTTTGTTACTGTATTGTCTCATGTACTGTCCCCCACTATAATGTACAGCGCTGAGCAAACCTTTTGGCGCTATATAAATACTAAAATTAAAATAATAATTAATAATAATAATAATAATAGTCCATAGGGTTCAATACTGAGTTGGCTCACCCTTTGCAGCTATAACAGCTTCAACTCCTCTGGGAAGGCTGTCCACAAGGTTTAGGAGTGTGTCTATGGGAATGTTTTGACCATTCTTCCAGAAGCACATTTGTGAGGTCAGGCACTCAAGTCGGACGAGAAGGCCTGGCTCACAGTCTCCGCTCTAATTCATCCCAAAGGTGTTCTATTGGGGTGAGATCAGCACTCTGTGCACGCCAATCAAGTTCCTCTAACCCAAACTCACTCATCCATGTCTTTATGGACCTTGTTTTGTGCACTGGTGCGCAGCTGTTGGAACAGGAAGAGGCCATCCCCAAACTGTTCCCACAAAGCTGGGAGCATGAAATTGTCCAAAATGTCTTGGTATGCTGACACCTTCAGAGTTCCCTTCACTGGAACTAAGGGGCCAAGCCCAACCTCTGAAAAACAACCCCACACCATAATCCCCCCTCCACCAAACTTTACACTTGTCACAATGCAGTCATGTAAGTACCGTTCTCCTGGCAACCGCCAAACCCAGACACGTACATCAGATTGCCAGACAGAGAAGTGTGATTTGTCACTCTAGAGAACAGGTCTCCACTGCTCTAGTGTCCAGTGGACACTACTGCATCCAACACTTTGCATTGCACTTGGTGATGTAAAGTTTGGATGCAGCTGCTCGGCCATGGAAACCCATTCCATGAAGCTCTCCATGCACTATTGTTGTGAATCTGAAGGTCACACGCAGTTTGGATGTCTTTAGCTATTGACTCTGCAGACAGTTGGCACCTTCTGTACGCTGTGCACTTCAGCATGCGCTCACCCAGCTCTGTCATTTTACATAGCCTACCACTTTGTTCCCAGTTGCTTCCACTTTGTTATAATACCACCAGTTGACTGTGGAATATTTAGTAGCAAAGAAATTTCACGGAAGGACTTATTGCACAGGTGGCAACCTATCACGGTACCACGCTTGAATTCATTGAACTCCTGAGAGTGATCCATTCTTTCACAAATGTTTGTAGAAGCAGTCTGCATGGCTAGGTGCTTGATTTTATATACCTGTAGCCATGGAGATGATTGAAACACCTGAATCCAATGATTTGGAAGGGTGTCCCAATACTTATATACAGTATAAATAGGAAGTGAGAGTAGCCAACCAGGATGTGTGTTATTCACAGGTTTGCCAAGTAAAACTAAAGGAAAGAAAGCTTGAAAAAGAAAACTAAAGCAGCCATAACATCTAAGGATTGGTAAACTGCAATATATATTTTTTGGGAGAGGGGGTTCAAATACATGTCTCCCATCCCTTTTACACTGGGTAAATGGAGAAGTAATTCCTTTACATACTAGTTCTGCTTCTATATGTTAAGCTTCAGGACAGACACCATTTAAATAACATTACTCCTTTATATGGCTGGTTATTTTTACTCTATTCACACTATCACTGGCTTTCAGGTTGTAGAAGAAGCAAATGGTAGACTAGTGTTTCCCCGCCCTTCAGGCCTCATCTAACTTTTCTTTAAGCTGCCTATCCCTGCCATGTGCCAGAATATGGGTTACTACTAGTGGTGTCTGTCCCATGCATTGGATAAGACTGGCATATGGTTTCCATACTTAGGCTAGGTTCACATCTGTGCGGGTGGTGCCGCTGCAGATCTGTACGAAAATCCGTGCACAGAGAAATGCGGACCCTCAGGTAGGTGCCATTAGTTCTAATGGCATGCCGCCCGCACTGGAAAATGCAACCGTACTGGGAACCGAGGTTCCTGTGCAGGCTGCATTTTCCGAAGAAGTGCAGGGACTTCTTCCAAGCGTGTCACGGGCACGGAAGTCCATTCAAATGAATGGGCTCTCATGCCCATGCAAAACGCGGCCCGCACGGCCGCACGTATGTGAACTGGGGGTTAAAGTGGACTTCTAGCCTAACTACACCTAACTATCTTTAAAACTGCCCCCTTCCCCCTCCCAACACCTATACTAACTAAACTGTGTAAGAAAGATATATATAAATTTACTTATGTTTGGCCCGCTCCAGTCCAGTCACATGATCTAGTTCCCCGGAGTCAGCAAGCGAGGGTGCAGGGGAAAGGAGGAAGCATAGACACTGGATGGGCCAAACCTATGGGTGATGTCACCGTTCCAGGCTCTACCAGCCATTCTCAAGTGTTCCCTCCTCTCCCCTGCAGCCGCCACTGGCTGACACAGGGGATCATGTGACTGCACTGGAGTGGCCTGAAAATAAGTAAGTATATGAATCTTTCATACACAGGTTAGTTAGCATAAGTGTTAGGAGGGGGTAAGGGACAGTTGTAAGGCTAGTTAGGTGTATAGCCGGAATTCCACTTTAATGAAAGGTGTCTTGACCACTTTCCCACTGCCATATAGCAGAAATACTGCTACAGGGAGGCAGGGGTGCACAAAATCACACATATATAGAAAACTGCATTTCCGGGTAGGGGGCACGGGAGAGACGCGTGCGTGCCCTACCTGCGCTGACATTGGCGGCCTCAGCTGTCTATCACTGGGTCATGGCCGATGATTCCCCGCCGACACTCGGCGATCACTGTGTGTCATGGATGGGGGATAGACCTGTATGTAAACAATACAAATCTCTCCCCTGTCAGCTTCTTCACACTGCTTTGTATGGCTCTGCATAGCAGTGTGCTAACAAAGCAGTGTGCTAAAGCACACACACAGCACACAGTAAAACAGCAAATAATTAACCCTTTGAGTGCCCAAGATGTTAACCCCTTCCTGCCCAGTGTCATTAGTACAGTGTCAGTGCTTTTTATTTGCATTGATCACTGTATTGGTGTAACTGGGGATGTCAGCGGCAGTTAGTCAGTTCCCCCCCAGTGTCAGAATGCCCGCTGCAGTCCCGCTATAAGTTACTGATCGCTGCCATTACTAGTATAAAAAAAAAATCCCAGTATATATACGCCATTTGTAGACGCTATAATTTTCACGTAAACCAATTAATTTATATGTATTGAGATTTTTTTAGCAAAGACATGTAGCAGAATACATTTTGGCCTAAATTTATGCCAAAATTTGATTTTTTAAATTGTTTTACTGGACATAAAAAGTCAAAAATATTGTTTTCAAAATTGTCGGTCTTTTTTTTTTATAGCGCAAAAAATAAACGCACAGGTGATCAAATGCCACCAAAAGAAAGCTCTATTTGTGGGAAAAAATTACATTAATTTAATTAGGGTGCAGCGTTGCATGATGGCGCAATTGGCAGTTAAAGTAACGCAGAGCCATATCGCAAAAAATGGCCTGGTCAGGAAGGGGGGTAAATCCTCTGGAAGGCAATGTTATTATTATCATTATTATTATACAGGATTTATATAGCGTCAACAGTTTGCTCAGCACTTTACAATATAATGTTGTTTATTGCAAGAAGTAACTGAAAAAAAAGAGAGATTAAAGAAAGTATATATGGTATATGTTGTTATCTATTTACTACTGCTAGCAGTATAAGGTTTGAAATAGTCAATGTTGTTTGAGAGAGTGAAGTTCTACTTTAGTGGGCAGCACAGTGGCTAAATGGTTAGTACTTCTGCTTGGCAGTACTTGGTTCAAATCCAAACCACAGCACTGCCTGGAGTTTGCATGTTCTCCCTGTGTCTGCAGGGGTTTTCTCTGGGTACTCCAGTTTCCTCCCACACACCAAAGACTTGCTGGTAGATTAATTGGTCTAAATTGGCCCTAGTAGGTGTATGTATGAGTGTAAGTTAGGGACCTTAGTTTGTACACCCCTTGAGGGCAGGGACTGATGTGAATGTACAATATACAATGTAAAGTGCTGCATAAACTGACGGCACTATATAAGTACCTGTAATAAATAAAAATGTATCTTCTGTGCCTGGACTTGACAGGGACATCCTTATTGTTAGATAAGTTTAGACATTTTCAAGTGACCTCTAGGGGGCATCAAGAAGTCAGATTATTTTACAAACACTCCAGCCTATCACTGCGCAGATGCCGAAAATAATGACAGCTCTGCTGTGACATCAACTGTTGAAGTAAATTATGCAATTTCAAAAAATAAAGTGAGAAGCAGCAATGGTAAAAAAGAAATATTGTGTGAACTTTAGCTGCAAGAACTCCAGGCGATATTTACCTTAGCATGCTAATCAGTAAGTAATAATACGCTGCCCTTAATAAATATAGAAAACATCGCCGTGCTAAATAACAGCGTAAAGAAAGTCCACGCTACAAATCACTAAGATCCCAATGTATAAAATATCCACAAAAATTAAAATGTCCATTTGCAGGCAATAAAGTGTATCCTATGCCAGTGAAACAACTTCTACCACAAACATTTCATGTGAGGATTCAGAACTGCATCACCTTCACATTATAGAAAGGTCATGTATGGCATGGGATGCACTTTATTGTCTTCAAGTGGACTTTGTAATTTTTTGTGGACATTTTATACATTGGGATCTTGGTGATCTGTAGCATGAACTTTCTTTACACAGTTATTTAGAACAGTGGTGTTTTCTATATTTATTAAGCACCACAGATTATTTGTTTACTAAATGATACAATTCACAGTATAAGGTTTATGGGACAGTTGCTGAAAGACAGGTCAATTGCTATTTTTGTACTGTATTTACTATTAAAGTTTGTTTTCATTTTATTAGGATCAGATTGAAAATTCCAAAACACTTTCACATTTATTAACTGCTTCCCGACCGCCCTATAGTAGAACTACTGCTACAGGGCAACAGGGCTGTGCAAAATCATGTATATGTAAGTGATTTTTTATTTCCAGGTAGGGGGCGTGCGCGGTGTCCACACATCTCGCCCATGCCGCCATTGGCGACTACAGCTGGCAATCACCAGGTACCGGCCAGAGATTCCCTGACAGCACCTGGCAATTGCCAAGTAACACTGACGGGGGAGAGGTCTCTCCCTTGTCAGCACCAGCATGTTGCTTTGTATTGCTCTGTATAGCAGAGCAATACAAAGCAGCATGCTTGCATAGCAGAACACAGCACACAGTAAAACACACACATCACACAGTTAACCCTTTGATCACCCCAGATGTTAACCCCTTCCTGCCTAGTGTCATTAGTACAGTGTCAGTGCTTTTAATTAGCACTGATCACTGTATTAGTGTTAGTGGGGATGTCAGTAACAGTTAGTCAGTTCCCCCCCCAATGTCAGAATGCCCACCGCAGTCCCGATACAACTCACTGATCACCGCCATTACAAGCAACAAACAAAAAAAATTACAGTATATATACCTCCATTTGTAGACGCTATAACTTTCATGTAAACCAATTAATTTACATGTATTGGGATTTGTTTTTAGCAAAGACATGTAGCAGAATACATTTTGGCCTAAATTTATGATGAATATTGATTTTTAAAATGTTTTCACTGGATATGTTTTATAGCAAAAAGTAAAAAATATTGGGTTTTTTTTCAAAATTGTTCTTTTTTTTTATTTATAACGCAAAAAATAACAACCACAGAGGTTATCAAATACCACCAAAAGAAAGCTCCATTTGTGGGAAAAAAAGGAGATAAATTTCAATTGGGTGCAGCATTGCTTGGCCGCGCAATTGTCAGTTAAAGTAACGCAGCGTCGTATCGCAAAACATGGTCTGGTCAGGAAAGGGGGTAAATCCTCTGGAGGGCAATTGTATTAATAAGAAAAGAATTGTTATTTTCAGTGGTCTTCCTGTAATATGAGCCACTGTTTCTGTTTTGAAGCAAGATCAGAGAAGATTATACTTACTCAGACCATTTAACAGCAGGAAGGGAGTATTATATTTAGTGGGTTATGAGACCAGCAGGTGGTTTGGAACTGTTCTTTGCTGTTTCCGCTGGCTGACTGGTTTATTTCATTTATATCATTGGTGGTATAAGTCAGCTGTGTTATATTAGAACTGATAACTCAGGAAGCAGAGTTCTTTGTCAAAGCTAAACTGAACAATGTATATGCTAATGTTGTTTTCTGAACATTTTAATTAATGTCTTTGCTAAAATGTTAGTCAATCCCTAAGTTCATAGTCAGT